AGCGGGCAAGATAGCTCCATCTTGCCCGCTCGGGTAGCCAATCACAGCGCAGGATTTGATTCATCTTGCCCGCTCGCGGAGCTAGCCATATAATAAAGTGGGTTAATGACGCAAAATTTTCCGAACGTTTTGCACAAAGTATTTAGTGACAGAGGAAATTGAGCCTTGCGACACCAAGACCTACTGTTGCCAGCAGAATGGTAAAAATACCCCAAACAATTCCACATTTTATTTTCGTCGTTCATAAGTTGAGTGGGTTTGCTTAAAGTCAGTTGGGAAAGCAATTTAGCCAAACTGAAAGCAAACACGCCCCAGTTTGACATTAAAATGTATGCAAGAAAGGACATCTGACCAAATACAACAGGAAGGCAATAAGTACGCTGTATTTTCTGAGACAATGAAGCTAGCGCGCCCAATGAAAATTTGATATTTCTCTAAAGCTGTTAGCATGCCGTAAGACATTTCGTTCGTAATTATTATTCATTTTAAATGAAATACTGCATGAGTAAGAATGATTAAGGACGGTCTCAATGTTACGTGGTGAAGATAGCCGGAAACTGATGGCGTTGTTTGTGTTTTTTGGCAGTAATTATGCACACTTGTTTCTTCTAGGCGATAGCTTCATTGAAATTGTTGAATTAATACAAGCAGAGTTTGTCAGTTAACTGCTATACCTGACGTAATGCTAATTTCTCGTTTGATGTTGGTTTTGATTTCTTAGCTCTTGGTTGAAGAAGAGAGAGAAAGGATGTTTAAAAGCTAATGCGATGTAACAGAAAATCAAGCGTGCGTCATTATCCAACGGAAAAATCTCAGTGAACAGCGCAAACAGTGAAGCAATATGGAGTATCTCGACATCATCCTGTGCTTCAATCTACTTGTTTTGATAAGACTTTTCATCGGGACGCCATCAACAAACGCAGTTTCCTTCACAGCAGAGGATAGTTATTTGGCGAGCCAAGTGATGAAAACAGTTTTCTCTAAAGACTGGCTGAGCTGTACACTCGCATGTCAGAATGACGAGAAGTGCGTATCGTACAATTACAACACGTTCACAGGTTCTTGTGATTTGAACGAACAGGGCTTACAGCAACCATTTAGTGGACAGAACGAATTAGTGAAAATGCAGGGCATGATATTTCATCAGATAAGGGTGAGTCACGCATACAGCATTCGCAGGTTTAAACTACCAAAGTTTAATTCTGATTCTAAAACTAACTTTCATTTTACATGCATGCATACGAAAGGATTAAGTTAAAATTCACCAAATATTTAAAATCTGCCGAGTCTTTTCTTCAACCTTTTGACAATTTATTCCTCTGTGTCACTAAATGCCTGTTTTTCTCGTCAGCTTCTTTGTTCTGTGCAAAAAAAAAAATTAATCCCGTTTTCATCTCTGTGAGGCATAACTAGCTATACAGATAAGCGACCGGTTATCTTTGGCCCTCGGCTTCTATAAAATTATCACTGCCATGAAAACTGCCGACAGTAACTGGTTGTATTGGTGGCACATGCTAATTGGAACAGGTTACTCAACTCAACCTCTGAAAATGTACCGCGACCTCTTGAAAAGCAAACACGTCCAAATTTGTCGAATGACCAGTTTTCCTGTTCGAGACAACAACCAAATCCCAGTTTTTATTAAAAACCGTAACAGCTGGATTTGCAGTCCCTCCTTCAATAAACGAAATGCTGTAGGTAAACAGTGCGAGAGAGCGGCCTTGTACATACGTGCTGGCAAAAGCAGTTGTTCTTTTAGTTTGAACTTATAACTCAATAAAACATCTTGATCGACGACAGTTGCTCGTCTGGAAAGAAACTTTGTAAAAATATTATTCTCTCTCTGTTTTTCTATGTAGGCAGGAAGGGAACAAACAGGTCTGAAAATCTACTTCAGTAAGGACGACCGTTCTGATCTCACATGATAATCACAGGACTGAGTGGCATGTTATGCCAAGAGGCTATAGGCAGCCGAATTTTAAGTGTAGTTTAAACTGTCAGTCAGAGAAAAATTTATGACCTGAACTGAAAACCATTTATTCTCTTCAAAATATCATGTGAATAAATTCTAAAGTCCTCTTTACTCGTGCTCCGAACTCATCGAGTCTGTCAAAAAAACTAATGCTGATTATTGAGCTCGAGTAACGTTCATCTGAAAGTTTGGATTAAAATTCTGCGTTTTATTTAATATTCTTTTTGTTTTATTCCTTTTTATCTCGAAAAAAAAACTAGGAAAAAGTAGCTAAATTATCAGCTACATTAATTCAATGTAGGATTAAAATTCTGCGTTTTGTTTAATATTCCTTTTGTCTTATTCCTTTTTATCTTGAAAAAACTAAGAAATTATTTTAAACGAAAGACGTTTTCCAGCGAGAAGAATTCCATAATTTTTGACATCAACTTGCTCGGTCAAAAGTGTAAAATATCAGCTTCAACGTTGCTGTAGAGCGTGCGAGAGTCGGAGGACCACTATATCTGTTAGGAAGATAATTACTTAACGTCTATTTCCCGTTTGGTGGAGCAACCATTCTTTCCACTTTAAACCCCCACTTTTTTCAATTAAACTGCTGACGCAATGATATCCCAGTCGACTCACTAACAGTCATTCATTTTCTTTGATTTTGCGGCGCGACAAACAGACCTTAAGCTTTTAATAAACCGAATTATGACAAATTCCATCTTCATATTTTAATTCCAGTATATTGAGCATATATTCACCATATTAAATAACAACTTTGTATTCTTTACCATTTCGCAACCAAAGTTCAATTTAAATTTTTTCGAAGTTTTAATGATGGAAAAGTCATTTTTCATTCGGAGCCGGAAGCGAGATCACGGATGACACTCGTTGACAAGCTTCTGTCTAGTTTTATTTAGGTGTTCAGTTTGCTTCTAAATATTTCCCTGTCTTTCTGTTTTCCTTATTGTGTTATAACAGCTTATACTTCAGTCTCTGGTTATATCTCCTCTGCCAAAGAAGAAAACAGAGACAAAAAGGTCAAAAAACAAAAACAGACAAAAACGCGGATAATTTGGTGGGGCCACAAAAGAGTGGTAAACATACACCGTTGGTCTATCACGCAGCACAAACTGAATGTGCAAGCATTTCGATAGAAAGTTTTAAAATGTGCTCTGCTGTCTATAGATGTTTTGAATCTGTTCAGGAGAAAGAACCAGTCACCTCAATGTCTTTACGAAACAAGACATTACACGAACAGGTGGACTATATTTATCGGCACTGACAAAATATTTGTCTGGAGGGAAGGAAAACTATAACAGAGACAGATTCAACTCCGCTTACTTGGTCAAAAAATTAACCGGCACACAAATCTTTCTCAAAAAAATACGTTTTTAACACTTCATGCGAAGGTTACTTTACAAAAAACGTATGCGGTGGACAATTTCCTACATCGTTAACGTAACGTGCATTTTCTGGACGAATCGAAAAGCATCATTCACATCTGCCTGCATCTGGCGTAAAGCATGCATCAAGTTGTTCTGAATGTCTCTTGAGAGGAAGCTGAAAGTACAATTGGAATGATTCAGTTGTGTATGTGATCATATGTTAATGTAGAACAAGACATTTAGAATTTTGCCTGCTGAAAGTTTTACCTTAATTCGGAATTATCTCGTCGAGAAAATGTTATTATGCCGTCAACTAATCTGGCTAAATTTCTGAAACACAACATAGAAACTACCATTGTGTGCTATGTAAAGATTTGTTAAAAAGCCTTTTCTTCAATGCAGTACTCATGAAATTATTTTCATGGCTCTTGCCAGTTTTTTATCTGCGAAAAGTTCTATTCAGTATTCTGTATTGTACATGAAATTTCACATGCATTCCAAATTCAATTTCATGTAATGATCGATTGAAGTCGTGCCATTGAATTTGTTGTCATTTCACTTCCTTAAAATCTTTTAAGAGTCATTGTCGGAGAAAACTGGGCAGACCTCACGGATCGGGGTCGACCGATTCCTTCCATATTTAGGCTGTTTGATGCATTGGATCAATGATGTTGAAAGGCAATGTTATTAGATTTCAAGAGCAACCCAACTGAGTTTAGCCATATCACACCGGTCTTGTATCAGCTTCACTGGCTACCAGTCAAGTACCGCATTCAATTCAAAATTCTGCTCATTATGCATTACTTTTAAAGCTATTCACGGCATGGCACCTGATTACATCTGCAAATTGGTCACTCGAAAAACATCAACTAGATATTCGAACAATACTCTGAGTACCTTAATAACATTTGCCTCGAGGTCTCTTCTAGGTTGCTTCAGGGTGTAAAAACGTGATCTCACATGCATGAAATAAGTTGGATGTATATAAAGTTGAATATGAGAATAAAACGCATTATATTCTTCTGATTAAAAAAGGCAAGGGACTACAGTATGGGGCCCAGTTCTCGGCCACAAAAAACGTAAACTTGTATTTCTTACCTTGTGTTTTGATATTTCGATCACAAATTATCCTTAAAGAGCTTTGTTTCATGTTAGAAAAGGAAATTTTTTTGCACACCTAGTTTTTCTCTTAAGTGCAGTCAAGCGAGGCTAAAAAAGTATTTAAAACGGGGTTAAGTCAGAGCTCATAGTTTTCAGCATGCCACCCCATTACAGCTTTATTTTTACAACTGACTTGACACGAATACTCCACACAGAACTATGAGCGCTTTTAGTGTTGAAGGCGAACAGGGTGGTCGAGAATAGGCAAATACGCAAAAGTACTAAGGAAATATTGAGGAGTGAATTTAGGTCAAAGAATTAAACAGGCCAGGAAAAGTTTATATTTAACAGA